CAAGCGGTGTTCCACAGGGGTCAGTGTTGGGCCCCTTGTTCACGATATACGTATTCGACATAGATGAGGGAATAAATAGCGACTTAAGCAAATTTGCTGATGACACCAAAATAGGCCGCCCAATTCATTCTAATGAGGACGCTAGAGCGCTCCAGGATGATTTGAATAGACTGATGCAATGGTCGGAGAAGTGGCAGAAGCAGTTTAATATAGACAAATGCAAAATTCTAAATGTTGTAAAGGATAATAACCATGCCACATATAAACTAAATAATGTAGACCTTAATATTACTGATTGCGAAAAGGATTTAGAAGTTCTGGTTAGCAGTAACCTGAAACCAAGACAACAGTGCATAAACGTTCGCAATAAAGCTAACAGAATCCTTGGCTTCATATAAAGAAGCATAAATAATAGAAGTCCACAAGTTGTTCTTCAACTCTATATATCCATGGTTAGGTCTCATTTAGACTATGCTGCACAGTTCTGGTCACCGTATCACAGAATGGAAATAAATTCACTGGAAAACGTACGAAGGAGGATGACAAAGATGATCCCATGTATCAGAAATCTTCCCTGTGAGGATAGACTGAGGGCCCTGAATCTGCACTCTCTAGAAAGGCGTAGAATTAGGGGGAATATGATTGAGGTGTATACATGGAAAACAGGAATAAATAAAGGAGATGTAAATAGCGTGCTAAAAATATCTAGCCTAGACAGGACTCGCAGCAATGGGTTTAAGCTGGAAAATTTTTGATTCAGGAAGGATACAGGAAAGCACTGGTTTGGCAATAGAGTTGTGAATGAGTGGAGCAAACTCCCGAGTACCGTCATAGAAGCTAAGGCGTTGTGTATTTTTAAAATAGGTTAGATAAATACATGAGTAAGTGTGGGTGGGTGTGAATTGGACCTGACTAGCTGGTGCTACTGGGTCAGTAACCGTGCTCCTTCCTTAAGTGGAGGTGACGTAACTGGGTGGGCCATTGGTGCCGGGAGATGGCATGGGCCAGTAGGCCTGCTGCAGTGTTTCTTTTTTCTTATGTTCTTATTCCTACACACTCCTTCACTCATACACACACCTTCACTCATACACACACCTTCAGCCATACACACACCTTCAGCCATACACACACCTTCAGCCATACACACACCTTCAGCCATACACACACTTTCACCCATACACACACCTTCACCCATACACACACCTTCACCCATACACACACCTTCACTCATACACACACCTTCAGCCATACACACACCTTCAGCCATACACCCACCTTCAGCCATACACACACCTTCAGCCATACACACACCTTCACCCATACACACACCTTCACTCATACACACACCTTCAGCCATACACTCACCTTCAACCATACACATACCTTCACCCATACACGCACCTTCACCCATACACACACCTTCACCCATACACACACCTTCATCCATACACACACCTTCACCCATACACACACCTTCACTCATACACACACCTTCACTCATATACACACCTTCATCCATACCACACACCTTCACCCATACACACACCTTCACTCATACACACACCTTCACCCATACACATACCTGCACTCATACACACACCTCCACCCATACACACACCTTCGCTCATACACACACCTTCATCCATGCACACACATTCACCCATACACATACCTGCACTCATACACACAACCTTCACCCATACACACACACTTCACCCATACAAACACCTTCACCCATACTTACACCTTCACACATACACACACACCTTCACACATACACACTCCTTCATTCATACACACACCTTCATTCATACACACACCTTCACTCATACACACTCCTTCACTCATATACACACCTTCACTCATACACACACCATCACTCATACACAACGCCTTCACCCATACACACTCCTTCACTCATAACACACCCTTTTCTCATACACACACCTTCACTCGTACACACACCTTCACTCATACACACACCTTCACTCATACACACTCCTTCACTTATACACACTCCTTCACTCATACACCCAGCTTCACTGATGCACTCACTTTCACTCATACACACACCATCACTCAAACACACAACTTCACCCATACATACACCTTCACTCATGCACACACCTTCATTCATACACACACCTTCACTGATACACACACCTTCACCCATACACACTCCTTCACTTATACACTCACTTTCACTCATACACACACCCTCACTCATACACACAGTTTCACTCATACACAGTCCTTCACTCATACACACACCTTCACTCATACACACACCTTCATTCATACACACTCCTTCACTCATACACACAACCTTCACTGATTCACACACCTTCACTCATAGACACACCTTCACTCATACACACACCTTTACTCATACACACACCTTCACTCATACACACTCCTTCACTCATACACACACCTTCACTGATTCACACACCTTCACTCATAGACACACCTTCACTCATACACACACCTTCACCCATACACACTCCTTCACTTATACACTCACTTCACTCATACACACACCCTCAATCATACACACAGTTTCACTCATACACAGTCCTTCACTCATGCACACACCTTCACTCATACACACACCATCACTCATACACACAACTTCACCCATACATACACCTTCACTCATGCACACACCTTCACTCATACACACACCTTCACTCATAGACACACTTTCACTCATACACACACCTTTACTCATACACACACCTTCACTCATACACACACCTTCACTCATACACACACCTTCACTCATTCACACACCTTCACTCATACACACTCCTTCACTCATACACACACCTTCACTGATTCACACACCTTCACTCATACACTCACCTTCACTCATACACACACCTTCACTCATACACACACCTTCACTCATACATACTCCTTCACTCATACACACACCTTCACTGATTCACACACCTTCACTCATAGACACAACTTCACCCATACACATGCCTTCATTCATACACACACCTTCACTCATACACACACCTTCACTCATACACACTCCTTCACTCATACACACACCTTCACTCATACACACACCTTCACTCACCTTCACTCATACACATACCTTCACCCACACTCACACCTTCACTCATACACACACTTTCACTCCCACACCTTCACTCATACCCACACCTTCACCTATACTCACTCATACACACACCTTCACTTATACACACTCCTTCACTCATACACACACCTTCACTCGTACACACACCTTCGCTCATACACACACCTTCACTCATACACAGTCCTTCACTCAAACACACACCTTTACTCATACACACACCTGAACTCATAAACACAACTTCACCCATACACACACCTTCACTCATACACACACCTTCACTCATACGCACACCTTCACTCATACACACACCTTCACTCATTCACACACCTTCACTCATACACACTCCTTCACTCACACACACCTTCGCTCATACACACATCTTCACTCATACACATTCCTTCACTCATACACACATCTTCACTCATACACACACCTTGGCTCATACACCTTTACTCATACACACACCTTCACTCATACACACCTTCACTCATACACACACCTTCACTCATACACACACCTTGACTCATACACATACCTTCACTCATAAACCTTGACTCATACACACACCTTCACTCATACACACACCTTGACTCATTCACATACCTTCACTCATAAACCTTCACTCATACACGCACCTTCACTCATACACACACCTTCACTCATACTCGCACCTTCACTCATACACACACCTTCACTCATACACACACCTTCACTCATACATGCACCTTCACTCATACACACACCTTCACTTATACACGCACCTTCACTCATACACACACCTTCACTCATACACACACCTTCACTCATACACACACCTTCACTCATACACGCACCTTCACTCATACACGCACCTTCACTCATACACACACCTTCACTCATACACACACCTTCACTCATACACGCACCTTCACTCATACACACACCTTCACTCATACACGCACCTTCACTCATACACGCACCTTCACTCATACACACACCTTCACTCATACACACAGCTTCACTCATACACACACCTTCACTCATACACACACCTTCACTCATACACACACCTTCACTCATACACGCACCTTCACTCATACACACACCTTCACTCATACACACACCTTCACTCATACACGCACCTTCACTCATACACACACCTTCACTCATACACACACCTTCACTCATACACGCACCTTCACTCATACACACACCTTCACTCATACACACACCTTCACTCATACACACACCTTCACTCATACACACACCTTCACTCATACACACACCTTCACTCATACACACACCTTCACTCATACACGCACCTTCACTCATACACACACCTTCACTCATACACGCACCTTCACTCATACACACACCTTCACTCATACACACACCTTCACTCATACACGCACCTTCACTCATACACACACCTTCACTCATACACGCACCTTCACTCATACACACACCTTCACTCATACAGACTCCACTCATAAGAACCGCCCACTGGTCAAGTGTCTATCAACAAGTGTCTTTGACGCGGTGTGCGTCACTTAAGTGTATACAGTGTATAAACACTTGAGAATTTCTTATATTTTCCTTTAATAGACTTAAACTTACTTGAATACTTACTGACTAGGGGAGTACACCCCATTACACTTGTCCCTATTGAACTACCAGTAAATAGGTACCTGAGTGTCAGCCGACTGTTGTGGACTTATACCCTCAGTAAACTGACTCACCCACTGAGTCCCTTGACTCATGGAGACTAGTCTCACCCTCTGAATACAAACACTCGACGAACAGCTAGATAGGGCCAGGCTATGGAATGAGCTGAGGTAGGAGGGTAGGTCATATCCCACTGAAATTCAGTGGAGTGCAACATTACTCACTGTCATCCCCACGCCATCAGATCTTCCATGAGGGCAACGTGAGTCGTTCCACCCTCTACCTGACACCTACACTGGCCGACCACGACGCCCACGTCTCCTGCAGAGCAAAGAATCCCATGGTACCAGCCGCCGTTCTCGAGGACACCAGGAAACTCAACGTCCACTGTGAGTATTCTAAGAGCTTTATATTTCCATTGGCACTCCTTTAGAGCTCCTTAAGATCTTCCTTAGAGCTTCTTCAATTTTCGCCCAAGTCTCTTCAGCTAGAAAATAGATCTTGGTGTAGACGTGTTTAAATAAACAAAATTTACAAAAGTTTATGCAGAGGTGTAGAACAGTCACTGTGAGGTGTAGAACAGTCACTGTGAGGTGTAGAACAGTCACTCTGAGGTGTAGAACAGTCACTCTGAGGTGTAGAACAGTCACTCTGAGGTGTAGAACAGTCACTGTGAGGTGTAGAACAGTCACTGTGAGGTGTAGAACAGTCACTCTGAGGTGTAGAACAGTCACTCTGAGGTGTAGAACAGTCACTCTGAGGTGTAGAACAGTCACTCTGAGGTGTAGAACAGTCACTCTGAGGTGTAGAACAGTCACTGTGAGGTGTAGAACATTTACTGTGAGGAGTAGAACAGTCACTGTGAGGAGTAGAACAGTTACTGTGAGGAGTTGAACAGTTACTGTGAGGTGTAGAACAGTTACTGTGAGGAGTAGAACAGTCACTGTGAGGTGTAGAACAGTTACTGTGAGGAGTAAAACAGTCACTGTGAGGTGTAGAACAGTCACTGTGAGGTGTAGAACAGTGACTGTGAGGAGTAGAACAGTTACTGTGAGGAGTAAAACAGTCACTGTGAGGAGTAGAACAGTTACTGTGAGGCGTAGAACAGTGACTGTGAGGTGAAGAACAGTGACTGTGAGGTGTAGAACAGTCACTGTGAGGAGTAGAACAGTCACTGTGAGGAGTAGAACAGTTACTGTGGGGAGTAAAACAGTCACTGTGAGGTGTAGAGCAGTCACTGTGAGGTGTAGAACAGTCACTGTCAGGAGTAGAACAGTTACTGTGAGGAGTAAAACAGTCATTGTGAGGAGTAGAACAGTTACTGTGAGGCGTTGAACAGTGACTGGGAGGTGAAGAACAGTCACTGCGGTGTAGAACAGTCACTGTGAGGAGTAGAACAGTTACTGTGATTAGTAAAACAGTCACTGTGAGGAGTAGAACAGTTACTGTGAGGCGTAGAACAGTGACTGTGAGGTGAAGAACAGTCACTGTGAGGTGTAGAACAGTCACTGTCAGGAGAAGAACAGTTATTGCGAGGCGTAGAACAGTCACTGTGAGATGAAGAACAATCACTGAGAGGTGTAGAACTGTTACTGTGAGGTGTAGAGCACTCACTGTGAGGTGAAGAACAGTCACTATGAGGTGTAGAACAGGTACTGTGATGCGTAGAACAGTCACTGTGAGGTGAAAAATAGTCACTGTGAGGTGTAGAACAGTTACTCTGAGGTGTAGAACAGTCACTGTGAGGTGTAGAACAGTCACTGTGAGGTGTAGAACAGTCACTGTCAGGAGTAGAACAGTTACTGTTAGGCGTAGAACATTCACTGTGAGGTAAAGAACAGTCACTGTGAGGTGTAGAAAAGTTACTGTGATGTGTAGAACAGTTACTGAGAGGCGTTGAACAGTCACTGTGAGGTGAAGAACAGTCACTGTGAGATGTAGAACAGTCACGGTGAGGTGTGGAACAGTCAATGAGAGGTGTGGAACAGTTAATGTGAGGTGTGGAACAGTCAGTGAAAGGTGTGGAAGTCAGTGAGAGGTGTGGAACAGCCAGTGAGAGGTGTGGAACAGTCAGTTTATGGTATGGAAAAGTCAGTGAGTGGTGTGGAACAGTCAGTGAGTGGTTTGGAACAGTCAGTGAGTGGTTTGGAACAGTCAGTAAGAGGTGTGGAACAGTCAGTAAGTGGTGTGGAACAGTCAGTGAGAGGTGTGGAACAGTCAGTAAGAGGTATGGAACAGTCAGTGAGAGGTGTGGAACAGTCAGTTAGAGGTGTGGAACAGTCAGTGAGAGGTGTGAAACAGTCAGTGGGAGGTGTAAAACAGTCAGTGAGATGTGTGGAACAGTCAGTGAGTGGTGTGGAACAGTCAGTGAGAGGTGTGGAACAGTCAGTTAGAGGTGTGAAACAGTCAGTGAGAGGTGTGGAACAGTCAGTGAGTGGTGGGGAACAGTCAGTGAGAGGTGTGGAACAGTGAGAGGTTTGGAACAGTGAGTGGTGTGGAACAGTGAGTGAGTGGTGTGGAACAGTCAGTTAAAAGTGTAGTACAGTCAGTGAGTGGTATCGAACAGTCAGTAAGGGTTGTGGAACAGTCTGAGAAATGTGCGTAACAGTCAGCGAGAAATGTGGAACAGTCAGTGATAGGTGTGGAACAGTCAGTGAGAGGTGTGGAACAGTCAGTGAGAGGTGTCGAACAGTCAGTAAGAGTTGTGGGACAGTCAGTGAGATGTGTGGAAGAGTCAGTGAAAAGTGTGGAACAGTGAGTGACAGGTGCGGAACAATGAGAGATGTGGAACAGTCCGATAGGTTTGGAACAGTCAATGAGTGGTTTGTAACAGTCAGTGAGTGGTGTGGAACAGTCAGTGAGAGGTGTGAAACAGTCAGTGACTGGTGTGGAACAGTCAATGAGTGGTGTGGAACAGTCAGTGAGTGGTGTGAAACAGCCAATGAGTGGTATGGAACACTCAGTGAGAGGTGTGGAAGAGTCAGTGACTGGTGTGGAACAGTCAGTGAGTGGTGTGGAACAGTCAGTGAGAGGTGTGGAACAATCAGTGAGAGGTGTGGAAGAGTCAGTGAGTGGTGTGGAACAGTCAGTGAGAGGTGTGGAACAGTCAATGAGTGGTGTGGAACAGTCAGTGAGAGGTGTGGAACAGTCAGTGAGAGATGTGGAACAGTCAGTGAGTGGTGTGGAACAGTCAGTGAGTGGTGTGGAACAGTCAGTGAATGGTGTGGAACAGTCAGTGAGAGGTGTGGAACAGTCAGTTGGAGATGTGGAACAGTCAGTGACACGTGTGGAACAGTCAGTGAGAGGTGTAAAACAGTCAGTGAGATGTGTGAAAGTCAGAGAGGTGTGGAACAGTCATTGGGAGGTGTGGAGCAGTCAGTGAGAAGTGTGGAACAGTCAGTGAGAGGTATGGAACAGTTAATGAGAGGTGTGAAACAGTCAGTGAGTTGTGTGGAACAGTCAGTGGGAGGTGTTGAACAGTCAGTGAGAGGTGTGGAACAGTCAGTGAGCGGTGTGGAACAGTCAGTGAGATGTTTGGAACAGTTAGTGAGTGGTGTGGAACAGTCAGTGAGAGGTGTGGAATAGTCAGTGACAGGCGTGGAACAGTCAGTGAGAGGTGTGGAACAGTCAGTGAGTGGTGGGGAACAATCAGTGAAAGGTGTGGAACAGTGAAAGGTTTGGAACAGTGAGTGAGTGGTGTGGAACAGTGAGTGAGTGGTGTGGAACAGTCAGTAGTTAAAAGTGTGGTACAGTCAGTGAGTGGTGTCGAACAGTCAGCAAGGGTTGTGGAACAGTCAGAGAAATGCGCGGAACAGTCAGTGAGAAATGTGGAACAGTCAGTGATAGGTGTGGAACAGTCAGTGAGAGGTGTGGGTCAGTCAGCGAGAGGTGTCGAACAGTCGGTAAGAGTTGTGGGACAGTCAGTGAGATGTGTGGAAGAGTCAGTGAAAAGTGTGGAACAGCCAGTGAGAGGTGCGGAACAATGAGAGATGTGGAACAGTCCGATAGGTTTGGAACAGTCAATGAGTGGTTTGTTACAGTCAGTGAGTGGTGTGGAAGTCAGTGAGACGTGTGGAACAGTCAGTGACTGGGGTGGGACAGTCAGTGAGTGGTGTGGAACAGTGAGTGAGTGGTGTGGAATAGCCAGTTAAAAGTGTGGTACAGTCAGTGAGTGGTGTCGAACAGTCAGTAAAGGTTGTGGAACAGTCCGTGAAATGTGTGGAAGAGTCAGTGAAAAGTGTGGAACTATCAGTGACATGTGTGTAACCGTCAGTGAGGTGTGGAACAGTCAGTGAGTGGTGTGGAACAGTCAGTGAGAGGTGTGGAATAGTCAGTGAGGGGTGTGGAACAGTCGGTGATAGTTGTGGAACAGTCAGGTAGAGGTGTGGAACAGTCAGTGAGAGGTGTCGAACAGTCAGTAAGAGTTGTTGAACAGTCAGTGAGATGTGTGGAAGAGTCAGTGAGAGATGTGGAACAATGAGAGGTGTGAAACCGTCGGAGAGGTGTGCAACAGTCAGTGAGAGGTGTGGAACAGTCAGTGAGGGGTGTGGAGCAGTCAGTGAGTGGTGTGGAACAGTCAGTGAGAGTTGTTGAACAGTCATTGAGTGGTGTGGAACACTCAGTGAGAGGTGTGGAACAGTCAGTGAGAAGTGTGGAACAGTCAGTGAGAGCTGTGGAACAGTCAGTGAGTGGTGTGGAACAGTCAGTGAGTGGTGTGTAACAGTCAGTGAGAGGTGTGGAACAGTCAGTGAGAGGTGTGGAACAGTCAGCGAGTGGTGTGTAACAGTCAGTGAGATATTTGGAACAGTCAGTGATTGGTGTGGAACAGTCAGTGAGTGGTGTGGAACGGTCAGTGAGCGGTGTGGAACAGTCAGTGAGTGATGTGGAACAGTCAGTGAGTGATGTGGAACAGTCAGTGAGTGATGTGGAACATTCAGTGAGAGGTGTGGAACAGTCAGTGAGAGGTGTGGAACAGTCAGTGAGTGGTGTGGAACAGTCAGTGAGTGATGTGGAACAGTCAGTGAGTGATGTCGAACAGCCAGTGAGAGGTGTGGAACAGTCAGTGAGTGATGTGGAACAGTCAGTTAGAGGTGTGGAACAGTAAGTGAGAGGTGTGGAACAGTCAGTGAGTGGTGTGGAACAGTCAATGAGAGGTGTGGAACAGTCAGTTAGAGGTGTGGAACAGTCAGTGAGTGGTGTGGAACAGTCAATGAGAGGTGTGGAACAGTCAATGAGAGGTGTGGAACAGTCAATGAGAGTGTGTGGAACAGTCAATGAGAGGTGTGGAACAGTCAATGAGAGGTGTGGAACAGTCAATGAGAGGTGTGGAACAGTCAATGAGAGGTGTGGAACAGTCAATGAGAGGTGTGGAACAGTCAATGAGAGGTGT